CAAACACTCGATCAATCTGAGTTACACTTTGAAGATCCAAATATGCTTTATAATAGCTTTCTCAACAACCATTTAGAGAGTTTCAATGGCTTTGAACTGTTCCAAAATTCCATATCATGATGCAGAATGAATGAGATACTGAATCTTACTGGTGACAGACATATTGAATAAGACATGTATGTGATAGGTCGTCCCCGACAGTAAATATGTATGTGAGGAGGGTTAGAAAGGAAAGAGCACTGAGAGTTAGCTATAATATTGTGATAAGCTCAAGGATGCCTTTAAGCAGAAGGAATGATAAGTAGCACTAAACTGATAGGCTTTTGGTGAAGGCAAGACCATCTAAGATTTGAAAACCAGAGATTAGATGCAGAAGTTGAACAACTTACAGCGTCCTTAAATGCATAGTAGGCTTTTTCTGGAAAATAAGCATATGTAGTTCCACTATCCAAGACAGATCCATACTTCCCATCGAAAGTCCTTGGATTCAACTTCAATGGCTTCCCAGCAACATGTATTTCCTTCAACTCTATATTATAATATGGGCTGTTTCCATCCCAAAGCTAGACTATATCAATGAGATATACATAAATATAAACTAGTGAAAATGAATTTAGAAAGGCACATTCAAAACCACCATACCTTCGAGATGTGTCCGAGTGGGTAAATACCATACCAGGGGGTGAAGAGATCCCACCAAGAACCATTGCACCCCCACCAACATCCATCCCACCATAACATAATGAAAATGAATTACTCACAGCACCCTTGCCAACAAGTTGGTCCATCACACTGAGTGTACCACGGCCCAAACCCATAATCCCATCAGCACGCTGGGTATAAAGATCGCCAGTTTCCATAGTTTCACAGCCAAAGACTGCACGCTGGGGTAGAAGTTCACTTTCTTTTCCAAATGACATGATGTCCTCAGCAAGCACACCGCTGCTAGTACTCATCTCTGCGTACCGTCTCTCGTATGTACACTGGACTCCATTGTCATCACAGCTACAATCGATATTGCACTTAACAGGTTGATATGAGCTAGACAACTTCGGTTGGAACCTTGGATCCTAAAAATAGTATGGTCTAAAAATAAATCAAGTGAAAACTTGTTTTAAGAACATATATCGAGTATAACTAGAGTTATCAGCAGTTCAAACTGTCTGGACTTTCTACAATAATAGATCTTTTTTTATCTACGACTATGACAATCAATCTAAACACCTTATTTAACTGAACATGCATAAGCTTCAAATGAGTAATCTGACATATTTCCCAATTCAGCACCTCACAACTACGATCGTGCTACACAATTTGCAAGGTTACTAGTAAATTGAATGAGATTTGAACTCTCAAATGAAAGAATATTATGAAGGTATTCTCACAAGAGATTCTTCTATATTTGGTCGTCAAAATAATTTGCAGGATATTAAATACTAATTAGGTGATCACCATAACTTACTCATTTCCTCTAAATTGTTTGCTATTTACATCGGCGTTAATTGACCACTAGGCCAACCAAATGCAGTTTTTCATTTTGGCACTATCTTATTTTATCTTTGTGAACCCATACACAGAAAGTCATTTCCAGAGAAAAACATGTATGAACCAGTGATCCGAGATGGATCAGATGGGCGATCTCTAATCTTTCCTTCATCAGCAATTCAACCAAGCCTAGTTCTAAAATCCCATGCTTACATCGTGCTCAACATTTATAGACTTAAAAGACAAAATTTTCAAACAACGGTATCAGAATAAGTTTCTGTAATCCCAAATTCGAACGCACAAAACGAATTGCAGATATTTGACTATAGAGAGCAGAACTGAAGAAACAACGCAGATCAACAATCAATCGAAAGAAACCTGATGGTTCCCGCAATCTACGCAGTTAGAGCATGGAACGTATGTCACAGTACTTCCGGTGTCCACAATAAGAGCAAATTCTTGTGGAGGAGTCCCAATCCATAGACGCGTCGTGTAATACCTAGAAATATAAATGCCCAGAACCTCGAATTCATGATACACATAAAAAAAAATCTAAAAACAGACACAAAAGCAGAAAATTCAGAAAGACGAACCCGTTGGTAAGGAGGTCATCGTAGAGCCTCATTCGAGCATTTGACGAGTGGGGTTTTTCCAAGTTCAACAGGTGCCGGAGACGATGATCACGGTCCAAAACGCGCTGATGGGTGGAATTCGTCGGTGAAATATAGAGAGGAAGAATCACAGGGCGCTGCTGATAATAGAAGTCTCTAGAGTCCACAGATGAGGAAAAAATCGCGCCCAGCAAATTGAAACCAACTAAACAATAGACGAAGACGGCAGAATGTAAACTGGTGGAGGGCGGAGACATGGTGTGCTGGTGGACCGTACGCGATGGTGCAGACGGAGGAGAAACGACGGTAATTGGCGCGGAGAGGACCCGGTAAATAGCCCTCTGCGCCCCCAAAATATTGAGACTGAAACCAAAGTCATTGCAGTTTTTCTTATTTTCGTCGCTAACTAATTGGCCAATCAGATGAAGCCACGATAACGACATAATGAAAATGTAGGATGACGTGGCAGACGGTCAACGGCAATCCGACCGGCATGTTGCAAGTTGGTCAACTCAAACAATTGTTATTTTTTCCTTTATGTATATTGGAAATTGGAAATTGAAATTTCCATTTATTAGTTTTGAAGAATTCCCCTATTTAATATCCTTGTGAAGATGGTGGTAAAGCAGGTGGGTGGCATTATTTTGTCCAAACAAGGAGATAAATAAAACTTAGCTGCACTATGCTTGAAATAAACGTTATGTATCATTATTGATGCATTTAGAAGCTTCACACCAACTATATCTATAACAGCGTTCGTCTCTAGCAAATATTGTTTGCTTTAACTCGTTACGTATTGTTGTCAATCTTATGGGTTTTAAAACGTGTCTATTAGGGAGAAATTTCCACATTTTTATAAAGAATGCCCTGTTCCCCTCTCCAGCTAATGTATAGTTCATAATCTACTTCCCATACGGTGCCCAACATCCTTGTTAACACATTATCCAGTGTTTGATTCTATCATCATTTGTAACGGCTTAAACCTATCGCACGCAGGATGAATGCATTACAAGATTCCGTATCAATTGGAGATGAGAACGAAATATTACTTATAAGAACACCTATGGAGCAGATGCTCTTCAAAATGGTGAAGTAGACAACTATGTGTCAAATCAGACAGTGTTGTAACGCTGTGCTTGAGCGGTTGGAGTGTCTGCTATACTATATTGAGTATAGAGCTTGATTTGGTTTGTGAGAGAAGCTCGCCAAATATGGGCCTACACCTGTTTCTAGCCTGCAAGTGTTGGCCTTTGGGCATAGTGGCTGCAATATATATATACACGTGGGGGGCTGATATACCAGCCAGCAACTAAACAGCAAAACATAAACAACCACTTCAATTTGTATCAGATTTGGGGAAGCAAATGTGCGACCTTTGAACGGGGTCGGCAAAGGGCGTGGAGGGGCACGGCTTTGGGCAACGTCAGTCCGACGCCTTCCCTCATATCAATACATTCCCCGCCAACCGACTCCCACTCAAAGCACTGAATCAGCGACCCGACAGCCAATCCAACGACGCGCAGTCCTAGGCCCTCGCCGGGACATCTCCTCCTCCCGGCCCCAAATGGCATCCACTTGAAGAACCACCCCTCTCCCTCACTTCCAAATCTACCCGGGTTGAATTTTTCGGGATCCACCCATACGGTGGGGTCGTTTTGGATAGCCCACACGTTGACGAACAGCGTTGTACCAGCTGGGACACGAAACCCTCCAACGTGACAATCCTCCGACGATTCGTGGGGGATGAGTAATGGGCCGGGTGGGTACATTCGGAGAGTCTCGTGGATTAGGCTACGGAGGTAAGGAAGATGGGCCAGATCCGATTCCTCCAGGATTCGATTGGATCTTCCTACAACGTCGTCGATTTCCGTTTGGGCCCTTTGAAGGCACTCTGGATTGTTGAGTAATAGTGACAGTAGCCACTCCATTGTATTGATGGAACCTTCTGTTCCTGCTAATAGCAACACCTACAACAATCCAGATTAGAACACCACCAAGCAAATAATTAGTTGTTGAATTAAGTGATACGAGGATGAGAGTTGGGCGATGTAGCTCACGAGCATGAGGCCTCTGATATACTCGTCCTTATAATAGTGAGGTTCCTTTTGTTGCAGCGAGAGGAGGACCTCAATCATGGTCTTTTTAGCATCCTTTTTACTCTGTTTACGATGTTCCTCGATCAAACTCTGCATCCAAGCATCCCGCTTGCTCTGCAACTCCTTCATCCTGTTCTCAAGCCCTTTGGATAATCCAGCCCATTTCACGATCCTTAAGAAGTCCCCCAAATTAGTCTTGCTGCTCAACCGAAACGTCTCCTCCTGAATCTCCCGGAATCTCTCTGCTTCCTCCGACTCCGCCGCGTCTTCCCCATAATACCGCTTTCCAGCGATCATTCTCATCATGATATTGAACATCAACTCGAAAAACTCTGTTCTCATGTCTACGACGTCGTTTTTGGTGTTGTACAGCCTCCGGATCAACGTACGAACTTCGTCGACGCGAATACTGGAAAGCGTTTGGAGGCGGTGGGTGGAGAAGATTTCTAAGGACGAGATTCGGCGGAGGTTTCGCCAGTGCTCGCCATACGGAGCCCAGAGGAGGCTTGTGTAATTGTACCCGAGGTATTTGCCGCCTATGAGATGAGGCCGGTTGGCGAACACGATGTCGTTTTTGGAGAGACACTCCTCGGCGGCTGACGGAGAAGAGACGACCAGGACTGGTCGGAAACCGAACCAAAAGAAGAGGATTGGGCCATGCCGGCGCGAGATGTCCGATAGGGTCCGGTGAAGGGGGCGTTTGAGGAGGTAGAGTTGGCCTATGATGGGTAGTGAAAAAAATGGGCTCGGGGGGAGGTTTCGGATTCTGTGAAGGAATTGATTTGTGAATATGTGAAGTATCAATAAAATCAGAAGGCATAGGAATATGATCGCCATGGACGACGGCTAAATGATGAACACGAAGGTTTTTACATATGATATGATAAGCCAGTGGAATTGTTTACAACAACAAAAACGACGTCGTACTCGTAAGAACCATTTCATAAGTGGGGTATGATAATGTAACCCACAATGGGTACCGCAGTGGGGCACAGGCAAATGAGGTGATAGCAAGGTGGAAGGCATAATGATTCATAGGGAAATTCCCTGCCATTTCCTCATGAAGAACGCTCGTGCCATTACCTAAAGCCAAACAAATGGACGGATGAGATATACAGTGTTTGTCCTAATTTCTCTATTTGATTTTATTCGATTTTAGGGTTTAAATTACCTATTTTATATCATACAATAATTCTGCATGTCGATTTATTGGATGATTATTAATTAGAGAATCACTTTAATAGGTTCATGTGAAGCAGCGATGGTAGCAATGAACATGGCAAAAAGGTACTTTCGGCGATGAGATTGGTAGCGATTATGAGGGCTTTTCTTTTTATATATAGTTACTGTTGAACATGACGACAGGATATTCAACATGAAACTCTCGGCACCGAATCTCTGTTCTTTCGCGATCTAAGGAAGTAGCTGTGGTGATATGAAAAGCATCAGTCAAAATTTGATCTTTTTTTAAAAAAATTGTAAAGTTTTCTGTGGATTGTTCGATGTTAGGGCATTTGAAGGCGATTTGTCGGAGATCACGACGCTCTGCGATGCGGAAAATTTGAGGGAAGTGCTTGCGCGCAAGGTTAGTCGTGCTGTTTTTTTATTGATTGATCCCTTGGATTCTACTGCTATTTGGTCCTCTGCGCCTCAATTTTACAGTTCGAGTCGATAATGGAGCGTCTCTATTAACTTGATTCTTTTATCCTCCCCTGACCAACCGACCTCCCGTCCTAGATCGGCCCACTCGCGGGGTGATTATGGCACCACAGCCTCAAATTTCATCGACATTTCACAGCGGAGTGACCTCTTTTCCACCAATGCCTAGAAATCTGGCCGATTGTTCCGGACGGAGATTACAGCGGTCCTAGAATCCGGCGAACATTCGGGTAAAACTCCATTTACGTACTAATTTCAATAGAAACACTCCCGTTAAACGAACCAACAGGAATGCATTATCATAAGACTTGGCGGTTGTCTCATTAGGCTATAAAGCTTGGGCTGGGCCAACCCATGTCGGGGGGTTTAACTTTACCCTGTGTCATAGGGATACATGTACCATTTGTCATTTCTGAAAGAGGCTAAGAGGTAGCTGCAAAGTGGTGTCCCCCTCACATTTGACTTCCTGTCATAAAACGCGTGGAATTTTTAAGCCCCCAAAGTACATAATAAGTATAGAATCTACATTTTCTAATTACAATGATGTGAATTTTAGACCACTTTTTCTAAGTTTTTGCCGTTTCCGGCCTGCATGGTCAACATATTCATCTTCTTCCCACATTTTTTTTCCCCAATTTTTGCTATGAAACTTCTCATTTGCTTTTATCCATTACGTATCGTTATCAACTTCACAATGTTAAAACGCTTCTATTAGAAAAAGTTTTCATACCCTTATGTTTTTCGTTCTTTGGATCTCACAATCCCCTCTTCAGGAGGTCCAATGTTCTTTCCACACTCTTATAAGATTCCGTTCCATATCGTCGTTAGTCTCAAATTTTAAAATGCGTCTGCTCGGGATAAATTTTCACACCTTTATAAGATATTCACATTCCACTAACTTAGGGTGCCCAACGTACTTGAGATTTGGGATCTCATAATCCACCCCCTCAGGGGGTCAATGTTCTCACTGGCGCGAGCTCTGATATCATTTCTCGTGAGGTTCGAGTTAAAAACATGTCTACTATGAAGAAATTTTCATTCTACTCTCGAGTGGATATGAGATTTGACATCCAGCTTTACTAATCGTGCACAGAGAGATTGACGTGTAAAAAAAAGTGGTCAGTAATTTAAAATAAAGTATTAGTTTATTGAGATGGATGAATTCAATGATTGGAAAATAGTATACATGAGAGAAAAAAAAGAAGGAAACGCTGGCGTTTTAAGTTGAAAACCCGGGAAGTACCAAAATGGGGAAAGTCTAAAAAAAATTTAAAAATTGGGGCTAAAATCTGAAGGGGCTCCTGGGAATGGAAGAGCGCGCAATCTTAATGTTTCTGCAGATTTGGTTTATTTCGTTTCGTTGTTTCGAAAACCAAAACTGGCGCCTCTCATTTGCCCAAAATCTATTCCCAATTTCTTCCTCAGTACATATTCAACCCGCGCCAAACCCCATCCCTCACTTCTCCTTCTCACTTCCTTTTTCCACCCCTTTTCAGATCCCACTTCCACTCAAAGTACTATGGCGGACAAGGAGAATATATTTCGTCTCACTCGGGCTTCTAAGAAGAGGTTGGCCGAGGCTGCTACCCCCGACGACCGCTCCTCCAACAAGAGGCGGGTCGTTCTTGGGGAGCTTCCTATTTTGCAGAATGCTTCTTCTTCCGTCAACCGGAAGTCCAGGTCTAGAGCTAGCAGGCAGAGACGGAGAGTGAAATCAAGGGATATTGCGGGGACAAGTGCTGCTGCTGCTGCTGCTGCTGAAATCAATCCACTTCCGCAACGTGATGTCACGTTATCAGATGAGGGCAATTCGGAAGACCCCCAAATGTGCAGGGGTTACGCCTCTGATATTTATGACTATCTTCGCGCAACGGAGGTCTGAATCTTTCCTCCCCCTAACTAATTCTCCCGCTTGTTTACTGCAATTTGTAGAAACTATTTCTATTTAACTCTTGATTTCCTGCTCTGCTATTGATTCGAATATTCAGTTTAATTGCTTCTACTTTACTATCAAGATTAAAATTAAAGTTAGACTTAGTCATGGGGGTTTGCTTAGGTATGGATTATGTTGACCCAATTTTCACAAACACTTTAGCGCCGATGCAAGAAGATTGGTTGCCCACTTTGTGTGTGCGTGTGCGATCTTGCTTTTAATCTGAATAGCCCCATTTCTTTGATGTCCTGACTTCTGAGATTAATATTGAAGTGTATGTTTATTTGGGGTTTATGCTTTCTTTATTGGAGGTTTATGCTTCCTTGGACATTTTCGTATGCTAATTCTTATTTGAACATCCAGACTGATCCAAGAAGAAGGCCCCTACCAGATTACATCGGGACGGTACAAAAAGATATTAGTGCCAATATGAGGGGAATTCTGGTGGATTGGTTGGTTGAAGTTGCAGAAGAATACAAACTAGTTTCAGATACACTATACCTCTCTGTTTCATATGTTGACAGATACTTATCTCTAAATGCAATCAGCAGGCAAAAACTTCAGTTGGTGGGAGTTTCTGCCATGCTCATTGCCTCGTAAGCCCATTCACAACCCCTACACTGTTCTGTTGTGCTCTGGTACTGTCTTGCTTCACATAAAACCACCCATTGACATTGTTTCTTTTTGTATGTTTGTGTGTACGTAGAAAGTATGAAGAAATTAGTCCTCCACATGTTGAAGAATTTGTTTATATCACCGACAATACCTACAATAGAGAAGAGGTAATTCTCTACTCGTCTGTTGTTCAATTTTCTGTCGCTCCTCCGAAAGGTTCGCCATAATCAAAGTTGGTTGAATTACAATTTTTTATATTTATTTTGATTCTGAAGGTGGTTGAGATGGAGGCTGATATATTAAAATCACTGGAATTTGAACTTGGAGATCCCACAATAAAGACATTTTTAAGGCAAGTGCAGTGGTCTATCTTTTACTGTTGTAATTGTGAAAAATGTGCAGCACTTGCGTGGTTTGATAACTTATGAGCATTATTCTAATGTGCAGGAGATTCACAATGGTTGCTCAAGAGACTTATGAGGTAACATCCTAATCCTCTGTTGATTGTAAAGATGTCTAACATGATTTTCAGTTATTTATTTCTTATTGGTTTTTGCAGTTTAATACATTGCAATTTGAATTCTTGGGCTACTATCTTGCTGAGTTAAGCCTACTAGACTACAACTGTGTCAAATTTTTACCGTCTCTCGTTGCTGCATCTGTTATATTTCTAGCACGATTTATGATCCAACCTAAGAAGCATCCTTGGGTAAGCTTTTTGGAACAGGGTTGTTGTGCATTATATTATTTTTGGTAGGGATTGAGCATTTGTAACATATGTATATCATGTAGATCTCCAGGTTGGAGCATTTTACTGGATATAAGCCAGCTGATATGAAAGACTGCATTCTACTCGTACATGATTTATACCTTAGTAGAAGAGGAGGCGCTTTGGCAGCTATAAGGGAGAAATACAAACAACACAAGGTATTTTGATGGTTAAATCTCCACTTTTTTTTCTTTTTCTTTTTTGCTGGAGGGAAAGTTTCTTATTATATTATGAAGTAAAGATTTAGTTATTGGAATTAAGCACTGCTATGAATACGTATTTCATGGATTCCTGTTTTATTGCAGTTCAAATTTGTGTCTGTCATGCCTTCACCTCCAGAGATTCCTATTCCATATTTTGAAGATGTTAGAATATGAATGTACAAGATGACAATAGTAGTTAGGAACTTACGATATGGAGTGAATAGAAATTTATATCAGATAGGAATCTGAATTCCAGAGGCACGGTTCAGTTCTGATGTGCACAGGCTCTATAAGGCATTAGCCGATGGGCGAGTGTCCATTTGGAATGGAACATTTTTTGTGCACTGGAAGGCAAGGCAAAGCAAAGCATGAAGGCAAAGCTGGCATATTTTCCCACAACATTTTATGCATCTTCTTCCCTTGTAAAGATGTTTCGAAAAACAGATAACCCAATGTGGCTCACTTGTTAGATTTTAGGGTGTGTTCAGTATTGTACAAAATTCAGCAATGCTCATCATGCATTGGGCCAGAAGCCCATTTGAAAGCATAGAGTTCTCGTTTTCCTTTTCCAAGTTTGAGTCGGCAATGTACACAAATGCCATGTCTAATAATTGCAAGAACTAAAAAGGGAGGCTTGAAAAACATCAAAATAAAGCCATGTTGTTTGTCGTCCAAATCCCTTCGACAAGGATTGGCAGAAGAGGGAAAGGCAAAAAGAATAGAGCCAAAATGCATATTCTACAAATGCTTTACGTAGCCTTGAAAGTGACGGACCCTCTTGCTTCAGATGTTGAAGGGACTGAAAGCTAGAAAGAAAAGCACGATGGAAGAAGGAATATTAAAAAGGCTTGCGCTGAAAAGGAAAAGTGGCCTCGTCTAGTCTGCTGTGGTGCTGTTTTGCAGGTTGTCTACTCAATTGCATTTAAGCTTACACTTTTTCTTCAGCCATCACACTGCCCTGCCATACAAAGCCATATGACTTTTCCTTCATTGGGAGACTTTTGCCTCTGACCTTCCCCTCCAAGTAATCTGAGAAGACCATTGTTGAGAACTAAGCAACTGGGTTTCGTCCCCTGTCTCTCCATTTCAACATGCCATTTCCACTCTCCATGGAAGCTCGGCTGCTTCTGTTAATGGCGGTTTTCACTCTTCTGGTCTCTGGGGAAAGCAAAGCGGCAATGGGGGTCGTCGTTGCCGTCCAACATCCACCTTCAAATGTGCAGGAGAATCCCCGGAAGAAGCTGCCATCGCCATCGTCTCCGCCGCCGTGGAGTCAGTCGTTCAATGCGCTCTTCGCAAGCAAGAGGAAGGTACCAAACACTTGGGATCCACTCCACAATCGCTGAATTGAAAGCTCTCTCTGGCTGTTGGAATCCATGGAGAGGAATTGGATTGCATCTGTCTGATTATTTTGGTCAAAATGGTGGTGTTGACTCTATTGAGAGACGTGGCCACGTGGGCTTCTGGTTTGGTTGCGTTCCTTTAGCTCGTGAATTCGGACACCTACTCGCTCCCAGCCTTTTTCTGGGTGCAACCTTTATGGGGAAATGCATCCACCCCTTGTTTTTCTTTTTCAAAATTATTTTTTGTAAAATCCAATTAAATATAAACTCTTCCACGTATATCATATCTATTTTTCAGCTTCTTCAAAATCCATGTGCGGCGTGGCCATGGTTTTTTCTGGTCTTCAAAACTCTCTTTTTGGTCTAGATAATATTTTGAATACTTATGCTAATTTAATGGGTTTAGATAATATTCTAGATATTGTCCACGTTGACTTGCATTGTTGTCAATTATATAGATGTTTACCCACTTTGTGTATCTCACAATCTATCCCTTTGGGGATCCAGCGTTTTCGATGGCACATCGCCTAGTATCTGAGTAAACCCACCAATGCTAGCCGTTATTGTCTTATTTGGGCTTCTCGTCTGCACTTCCCCTCAAAGTTTTAAAACACATCTACTTGTAAGAGTTTTTCACACCTTATAAAAATGTTTCATTTTCATCTCAGACTAATGTGAAATCTCACAATTCATCCTCTTGAGGAGCTAGCGTCTTCACTGGCACACTGCTTGATCTCTGACTTTGATACCATTTGTAACAGTCAAAACCTAAACCCACCGCTACCGTTTTGACCCATTATGTATCGTCGTCAATCTCACAATTTTAAAATACGTCTTCCAGAGAGAAGTTTCCACACGCTTATAACTCTTATTCATCAATTCTTATGGATTACTAGCTTAGTGTTTGTATTGATCATGTTTTGAATTTAATGTTTGGAGGTGCGGATTTGACCCCTATCTTGATGAGCTGATTTAAGTTCAAGTTGGCCTTGCATACTTAAATTGTATAGCCACATATCATATTGGGTGACGTAGGATATGAAGTTTTTGTTTGGTATTTTCTTTTTCTTACAATGGGAATGCCTATCTGTCTTATTTAGCTTCGTTTCCTCAATTTTTATGTCAAACAAATCCATTAGCTTCAAACCAATGTTAGATGTAACAAAAGACAGATTCATAAGGCATCATCTTGGGAAGGTACAAATCTTTCACATTCTTGGTACAGTGTGATTAAATTGGAAGTGCAAGAGAAGATCACGCAGTCTACTTTTATTTGGCACATTTCTCTCACACTTTTATCATTTTTTCTTCACCTCATGCTCTCAAATGTCTTCTAATATATCCGTTCCCCAAGTCTGGCTTATCCCAATTCCCCACCGTCCTAATTTCTTGTATAAAACCATGCAAAATTGAGCCCATTTTGGATGTGCACCTGCAACAACTTCCAACACATTCATCCATGGAGGCTAACACAATTACATGGCTCTCTCTCTCGCTTCTCTTCACTCTTAGTCTTATTTACAAACTCAGAAAACAAAGCCCCAGAAGGTGTCCACCCAGCCCACCATCGCTTCCTCTCATCGGCCACCTTCATCTCCTCAAACAACCTTTCCACAGAGTGCTGCAGGATCTCTCCGACAAACACGGTCCAATTTTATCCCTTTCAATCGGTTCCCGTCCCATGGTGGTTATTTCCTCCCCGACCGCTGTCCGCGAGTGCTTTACCAAAAACGACATCGCCTTCGCCAACCGCCCTCGCTTGCTTTCTGGGAAGTACATGAACTACAACTACACCGGTGTGGCTGTTGCCTCCTACGGCCACCACTGGCGCAACATGCGCCGCATAGCCACCACAGAGCTACTCTCCAACCACCGCCTAAACGCGTATCTCAATATCCGAGTGCAAGAGCTCAAATTATGGGTCAAGAATTTGTACGGCGAGACAGGGGAAAGTAGTGATTTTGTTCGCTTGGAGATGCAGTCCAAATTGAACGAGCTTTCTTTTAATACTGTTATGAGGATGGTGAGTGGGAAACGTTACTTTGGTGTAGATGTTGAGGATGTTGAGGAAGCTAGGGAGTTTAGGGAGATCATGAAGGAGCTTCTTCACTTAAGTGGGGCGTCGAATCCAGCTGATTTTTTGCCCATTTTGAGACTCTTTGATTATCAAGGACTTGAGAAGAGGATGGTGAAAGCCAGTGGTCGAGCTGATTTATTCCTACAAAATCTGATTGATTGCGAGCGGGAAAGGCGAGCTTCTCGTTGGCCGGAGGAAAAACATGGAAACAAGACCATGATTCAGAGCCTGCTATCCTTCCAAGAATCTCAACCTCAATATTACTCCGACGATATCATCAAGGGTCATGTTCTGGTAACTTCAATCCCTCCCATTTTAATGGTGTGATATCATACTAAACTTTATAAGAGTGTGAAAAACTATTCTTAGCCAAAACGTTTTAAAACTTTGAGACGAAAACTTGTAAGGAAAAGTCAAAAGAGGCTGTATGGTTGTTACAAATGGTATCAGAGCTGAACACCGGGCAATGTGTCAGCAAAAGAGGCTGTATGGTTGTTACAAAAGAGGCTGTATGTGTCAGCGAGAAGTCTTAGTCTTGAAAGGGATTGACACTAGGTGGTGTGCCTACAAGGGTGTTGGCCTCGGAGGGGTGGATTGTGAGATCTCACATCAGTTGAGAACGAGAACGAAACATTCTTTATTAAGGGTGTGGAATACTCTCTCTAGCATACACGTTTCAAAACTTTGAAAGAAAGGAAACTCACGAGAAAAAGTCCAAATATGACAATATCTAGCGTTGAGTGCATGCCCATCGGTTTGCTGCTTACAACCACCATTTGTGACGTGACAAACACTTTAATATTATTTGTTATTTTGACATTATAAATTGTGAACTTTGGTGGTTATCTACTGCAGACGATGTTGGCTGCGGGTACTGATACAACTACAGGAACAATAGAATGGGCGATGTCGCTGCTTCTGAATCATCCCACGATAATGGATAAAGCTTGGAGCGAGATAAGAGAGTGCGTTGGGGAGAGTCGGCTGGTGGAGGAAGGCGATGTTAGCAGCCTAAAATACGTGGAAGCCATAATCTACGAGACTCTTCGACTGTTTCCAGTAGCTCCTCTGTTGGTGCCACACGAATCCTCTGAAGAGTGTAGAATTGAAGGATTTGACATACCCAAAGGCA